AAAACCCCTATATTTGGCGACTAAACTGCCTTTTAGTCGCTAAAACCATTACATTCGGCGACTAAAGTCTTTTAGTCGGCAAAAGTGACCAATTTTGGCGACTAATTCCATTTTAGTCGCCAATTCCATGACTTTCAGCGACGAAAATTCCCATTTTAGTCGCCAATAGTGTTTTTTGTTGTAGTGGTATAAGGACTACCATTATAGTTTGCCAAAAAAAAAATGTGTATTTTGAAAATAGACAATAATTTTTTTGTGACAAACCCAATAAAATGAACAGTTTACAATTCTCAAATTAACCTTTTTGTTTGTAGATCATATAAATAAAAATTCTCATAAAATAAATGGTTCGATTTATCAAAAAAGAATTCATTGTAAATCATACGAGGCCGAACAACCGCCTTCAAGTCCAAATTTGGAATGGAGAGAGAAGAAAAACCCCTTTTATATATATATATATATATATATATTTGCCACACTTTTATATTATTTTTTTAGATAACAGGACATGTGTGATTAGTTGAATGGTGTGTAACATTAGTCCAAATGACTATATAACCTCACCACTTTATAATTCAGTAGCTCTACAGAATTAATTATAAAAAATAAATAAATAAATAATTCTAATTATACATATAATATGGCTGACTGCATTAAGAAAAAAAAAATTAACCTTTTAATTTATTTCTTCTTTTTGAAAATACAATTTTATCTTCAATATTTTTAAAATTTTCCTTGTATCCCTACAAAGGCTCCAAAATTATATAAACACAATAAGGTAATTTACCACCAAAATCAAGTTTGAAAAAATCCAAAAAAAAGTAAAATTTAATAATTACCAAATATATTAAATTTTAATAAAATGTAAAAAACATAGAAAAAAATTGTCGGTAAATCTAAGTTGAGGAATGCTTTAGGCATTAGGTTCAAGGATTAATCTTATTTGAACAAATGGTTAGAAAGATGGGTAACATGTGTACACATATGAACAGATAGTTTGACAGATAATTGACCCGTGTATAGACGGTTGTATTTGATCAGATAGGCAGTAGTTAAGCTTTTGAACAGATAGTATGTTTGTCTCAAAATGATTTAAAAGTTTAGGTCTATTACCCGCAACAATTTCATTAATGGACCTCTCTACTTGAGTGCCCAAAAATATATATATAAAAAAATATTAAATCAAACCTAATTTCATTTTTTTTCACAACAATACTAGAAATTTTAAATTTTTTACTAAAATATCTACTAAACACTTTGGTAAATTCTTTTAGTATTTTTTTTTTTTAATTCTTAGCATTTTTCTTTCTTCCATTCCAATTTTTGAAAGGCTCATGATGAGATGGTGAGAAAGTATCGGATGGTCTTGAAATATTACTCGACACCATTTAAGATTGAACATTTGTCTATTTGTCTCTTTCAAAAAGACATCAAAGTGGTAGGATTAATTGTTTTAACCAATGAAATATAATTTAAAATACAACATAGCTTTGCCCCTGTAGCAAAGTATAATTTCTCCTCCATGGTAGGTGTGGGATGGCATTGGATATGATAAGAGTGAAACTGATTCTGAAAGGTGAGTGCTAGTAGCACGTGTGCTGCTGCGCCCATCCTATTTTAAGGACATAGGCCGCGCCTGTTAAAAAAAAAAAAAATGGGGGGGGGGGGGGCGGGCCATTGCATCAAGCCTAATTTGAGTTGGATTAGTGGTGTTTGAAAAATGATTCTTTTAACTAATTTTTTAATTTTTTTATAAAAGATATATAATAAAATATTGAAAATTACGTGATTAGATATTTTGATTTTTTGATTATTTTAATCAAAATATCAACACTCCAAACGAGACCATGGCCTATTTGAGCCTAGTTTGAATTTTTTTAAAACATGAATTTTGACAAATATTAATAAGTTTAAATTAAGATCCCATTTAGAGATTAAATATTTTAGTAAAAAAAATTATTATAAGTTATCATATTATTCTTTCTATTTTTTTACATATATTTTTATAAAAAGTCAAAAAATTATTAAAATAATTTGCTTTCAAACAAAGCCTAAATTTAAATTGCATTTGGACAAAGACACTAACTACCCATGCAATTAAAAATTCAGATTGTATATATATTAATAATACTCTAATAAGGTTAAAATCATTTAAATTGTTAGCCTTCCAAGATTTTTTTAATTCAATTTACATTTTCTAGTTTCACTTTACACCCCGGAACTTTAATATGCTTCTTTCCTCTTACCTCCTATTCTTCTTCTTTATTTTGATTATCTCTCTTCTTTTCTTGTTCTTCTTTTGTCTTTGGTTTTGCCTTATTTTTTTATTATTTCAATTCTCTCCTTAACTCAATCTTCATTTTCAATTCTTTCTTCATCTTGGTCTCTTTATTTCAAAACTTCTACTTTTAGTTCTTCCTCTTATCTCTCTCTCTCTCATCTTAAATTGAATGGAGGTGGCACTCATCATCAAAGACATCACATACTATTGAACATTATTATCGGATTAATATTTTATTGTTATAAGTGGTACTCAATTACAAAAATTAAACAACTAATTAAAGGAGGATGTGATAAAGTTGTTTGTTTTTAGTTATACTATAGATTCTAGAAATAGTTATAGATCTTTTTAAAATTGAAAATATTAGCTAGCAAATAAATTAAATTTGCATTTTAAATTTCAATTGCAAAATTATGAAATTTTCATCCTTAAACATTCCAAGTTTCAAAAGTTGTTAATAATTTTTTAGTTGTGCTAAGTATTTGGAAAAAACCAGCCATTTATCATGTTATCGAGAAGTTGATTTGTCTTATCAGCAATAACAAAATGCACATTTTTAATAATGAAAATTGTGAAGATTAAATTACACAAATACTAATTTTATTTATTTATACATATATATTTTCACTCCTTGAGGCTAGAATCTTTTTTTTTTTTTTTTTTTTTTCAGCAAAAGAACAGAAAATTTATTGATGAATTAAGCGGTTATTACATCAATAAAGGAAGAGGGTGGATGAGTGCAAAAAGTATCATAGTGAACCAAATCAATTCCAACTAGGTTGGCACCGATAATACCATCCAATCATATGCTAGCATCACATCAAAAGTTGGTAAGAAACCAATAGAACTGCAACAGCAATTTACAACCCAAAATAGGTCAGCAATAGCGAATATAATCTAACCACAGCTAAGATAAAATTACAACCCAAAGCTAACAAACAGCAACACAGCAGCACATTAGTAGAGTAACTCTACAACAACAGTAGTAACCCAAGCAGGTCAGCAACAACAACAACAAGACCCAACAGCATCCAAACAGAGCATCAATAATAGATCAACACCAGTACACACGTCCCACATAGATCAGTAGCAACCCCAGCAGAGTAGCATCACCAAAGCATCACTCATTATACATATATCAACCCAAACAGAGCCTCCTTTAGACCTTAGATAATATGCCTCACCCATTTTATGTTTGAAACAATCTCTTGAATGGAGAAGCAACACCCCACATTAACAGACTTCAACCATATGGCCACTCGAATTTTAATAAGTTCACATAAAGCATCAATATCATGTTGAGTATTATTAAATAAATAATCATTTCTATACATCCATAGTGACCAAATGACAGAAATAAAAATAACCCTCCACACTTTCTTTTCCTTTTTCCTGAGTTTCCACCCCAACCACCATTGCATCAAGCCTTCAAAAGATCCAAGTAACACCCATTGAATTCCCCACCAGGCCATGATGTTTAACCAGACATGCCACACAAATGAACAAAAAAATAAAAATAAAAAAAATATGATTAGAGGTTTCCTTCTCAACTTTGCACATCATACACTGCCAAGTCCCATTACCTCTCAAAACTCCAATTCTGCTAAGGAATGCAGATGTTTTCAGCCTACCTTTCCAAGCGAGCCAAGTAATGAATTTGGCCTTAAGAGGAGCAAAGTTATTCCAAACCAAATATGGATAGCTGAGGATCGGCCCATCACTTTGTTTGCACCAGTTATACACAAATCCAACTGTGAAAATCCCCGACTAGTCAGCTTTCCACCTGATTGAATCCCTTTGACTAGCCACAAGGCATAGTCCTATTCCCAGCAGATTTTGCAACCTTAGCACCTCATCTTCTTCCCATCCAAATAGAGGCCTTCTAAAGTTAAAGCACCAATTATTGCTATTATCTCTACAACCAATATGTATCTTCAAGGTGATCTCCTTATTTAAACTCAATTGATACAACCTTGGAAACTGAGATTTAAGGCTTGATGTTCCCAGTCAAGCATCCTGCCAGAATTTTACCCTATTCCCGTCACCAATTCTAAGCTCCACATTTTCCAGAAAAAAATTATGCAGCCGAGGATTTAAATAAGACACAGCAAGGAACCAGAGCATTCACTGAAGGAACCAGTGGCCCCCCGATACTCCATACTTGGCACAAATCATAGATTTCCACAGAGCCTCATCTTCAAAGGCATATCTCCACAACCACTTAAGAAAGTAGATATTTATTCGTCAATCTAATATCTTAAAGACCAAGACCTCCTTGTTTCTTATTCATCTGCACTACTTTCCATTTTACCAAATGGATATTCCTTTTAGACTCATCCCCTCCTCACAAAAACCTTGCTTGAATCCTATCAAGTTCCTTAATAACAGACTCTGGTATCTTAAACAAGCACATATAATAAACAGGTAAGGAAGATGACATAAATTTAATGAGAGTGACCCTACCAGCATAGGATAACAACCTTCTCTTCCACCAAGCTAATTTCTTTTTATACCTGTCTACCACTAGCAGCCATGTTTGCTTTCGGCCTGTGTTGGCTCCAAGTGGCAACCCAAAGTACTTTAAAGGTAACTTATGACTCCGTCAGTTAAGTATGTCTGCAAATTCCTCAACTAACCCATTATCAACTCCCACCCCACATATCATGCTTTTATGAAAATTAATCTTCAACTCCGAGACCATCTCAAAACATCTTAAGATTCATTTAATAGCCATAATCTCTGCCCATTCAGCCTCACAAAATATAATAGTGTCATCCGCGAACTGAAGATGGGATACGATGACCTCACTATTACCCACTACCACTCCTTTTATAATACTCAAATCCTTAGCTCTTGACAACAATATGTTCAAGCCTTTAGCAACAACATTGAACAAGAACGGGGAGAGAGGATCACCCTGTCTTAACCCTCTCTGCGGACAAAATTCAACTGTCGGTGAGCCATTCACTAATATGGATATTCTAGCAGATTCTATACACTCCTTCATCCATCGAACCCATCCAGATCTAAAACCAAAACTATCTAACATTTGCAACAAATAATTCCAATTAACAGTGTTGTATGCCTTTTGAAAATCCAGTTTGAGAATAATACCCTTTTTCTTAGATGTTTTCCACAAATCCACCACCTCATTAGCTATGAACACACCATCTAGAATGCTTTTTCCCCCTATGAAAGCAGATTAGGCCTTATTAATCACAGTAGGCAAGACTTGTTTCATTCTATTAGCCAAAACTTTGGATGGCACCTTATATGGGGAATTTATCAAACTAATGGATCTATAACCAAGAAGAGAGGTTGGATTCCCCTTTTTAGGAATAAGAGCAACAAAAAAACAATTTACCTCATACCCCAATCTACAATTGCTATAGACTCCTTCATAAATTTTATAATGTCATCTTTCAAGAACTTCCACCCTTTTTGAAAGAGCATCATATTAAACCCATCTGGGTCTGGGGCTTTGTTTCCATCACACTCTTTTACAACAGCCCATACTTCTTCTTCTGAGAATCCTCTCTCCAAAATAGCATCTACTTGATTAACAGCAATTTTCTTAAAATCACCTCTAACACTTGGCCTAAACCACCAATGTTCAGTAAATAAATTTTGGAAGTGATGGCAAGTGGCATGTTTGACCTCAGTAGGTTCATCCACCTCAACCCCATTAACCAAAGCAGAAGTAATTAGGTTTCTGTTGTGCTTCTTGGTGGCCATAATGTGAAAAAATCTAGTGTTTCTATCTCCTTTCAAAGCCCAATCCAACCTCAATTTTTGCATCCACATCCACTCCTTTCTTTTGCTAAGCTTCCATATCAAATCCTTGACTTCGTTTCTTCGACCGTCTTCCTCCTCAGTCAACTCCCTCACTTCAGGTTGTAAATCCATAGGATGTAACTCACGTTCAGCTTCTTTCAATTCTGATTCTACATCACCAAACACTTCCACATTCCATTTTTTAAGAGCTACTTTTAGAGTTCTTAGCTTTTCCATAATTATATAACAAGTCCAACCATTTACATTGGATGAGTCCTAAACATTTTTTGCATCACCAAGGACCTTAGGATATAAAACCCAAGCGTTGATGAACTTAAAAGGCTCCAGACCCCAATTCCTATCATCTTCCATCAGCAAAATGGGGCTATGATCCGAAAAAGTCTTAGTAACCTCCAAACCTTGTATCTATACCATTCCAGCTACTCTAAGTTAACCAAAAACCTATCAATCATGCTCCAACTTTGAGAATTACCCCAAGTATATTACCTTCCTAACATTGGAATGTCTATCAATTCAAGATTGCTAATAAAGTTGCCAAACTCACCTATTTCCCTGTCCCTTCCTATACACCCTTTTCTTTCACTAATATTTTTTACTTCATTGAAATCTTCCCCTAGGCACCAATGATTAGGAAATATCAACTTCAAATTGGATAAAGTACCCCATAACCTTCTCCTACTCAAATCTTCATTAGGAGCATATATGTTACCAATTACACAATTAATAGAAGAATACATAATACCTGCAAAAATGATGAAATTTCTTGAACAACAGCACTCATGTAGTGAGAAAATCATAGGATTCCAGATGCACAAAATCCCACATGTACTTCCCTCCGCTCCCACTTCTATGTACTCTACCGAATCAAAAGGCCACAGAGACCTAACAACACTTTCATCAATATTTGATCTTTTTGTTTCTTGCAACAAAGCCATATCCACAATTTTCAACCTCAGAAATTCCTTTACCCATACGCCTTCGATTAGCCCTTCCCAAGCCTCTCACGTTCCAAGATAGAATCTTCATAAAGATACAGGTGTAGACACCCCATTTTTGACCGACCTTAAGACTTAGACGTCCTCGCTTGTGCACTCAATGATTACGATTACACTTGTTCGCTTTGAGTGCCCGAAGTCCTCGATGGGATGCCCTATCTCTGAGCCTTTAAAGCTTGTCCATTTTGTGCTTTGTTTTGAACCAAAAGCTTGGTATTTCGTGTCTGGAACTTTTGGTGACTTGTCGACCACCACCATAGGCTGTCGGCTATGGCTCATGGTAGTCAGCCATTGGTGTGGCTGGTCGGCTACTAGTGGTGGCCGACGGCCACCAGTGTCTTTTTCCAGATATTTTTTGACAACTATGCCAGCTGTTAGCACAATGGGCTGCATCTCCCTACATGTGTATGGTAGGATATTTCTAAGCTCAAGGCTTATTTTTCTATATATAGGAGGGTTCCTCCTCCATTTTGGTGGGTTAGAAATTTTGGAACAAAATTCTCTCTCTCTCTCTCTCTCCATATCCACAATTTTCAACCTCAGAAATTCCTTTACCCATACGCCTTCGATTAGCCCTTCCCAAGCCTCTCACGTTCCAAGATAGAATCTTCATAAAGATACAGGTGTAGACACCCCATTTTTGACCGACCTTAAGACTTAGACGTCCTCGCTTGTGCACTCAATGATTACGATTACACTTGTTCGCTTTGAGTGCCCGAAGTCCTCGGTGGGATGCCCTATCTTTGAGCCTTTAAAGCTTGTCCATTTTGTGCTTTGTTTTGAACCAAAAGCTTGGTATTTCGTGTCTGGAACTTTTGGTCACTTGTCAACCACCACCATAGGCTGTCGGCTATGGCTCATGGTTGTCAGCCATTGGTGTGGCTGGTCGGCTACTAGTGGTGGCCAACGGCCACCAGTGTCTTTTTCCAGATATTTTTTGACAACTATGCCAGCTGTTAGCACAATGGGCTGCATCTCCCTACATGTGTATGGTAGGATATTTCTAAGCTCAAGGCTTATTTTTCTATATATAGGAGGGTTCCTCCTCCATTTTGGTGGGTTAGAAATTTTGGAACAAAATTCTCTCTCTCTCTCTCTCTCCCTCTAGTAATTTTGCGCATAGTTGCTTGGATACACTCCACTTTTGTCTATCAATCCTTAACAAAAGTTGCTAGTCTTTGGGCTAAGGTAGCTTAAGACCCTCTTTGAGCTTTAGAAGGAGGTTTTGGCAAGGTTTATTGCCTCCTTTATGTCTTCCTTTTAAGCGGTATAACATGCTCCTTTTATACTTGTTTTGCACACTTGCTTGCCATCTTTTTCAACTGTTTTGGGGCTGGTTTTGAACAGTCAAAAATTCTATTTTTGTGACCTAAAAGTGTTGGTTTAAGGCCATTTTCAGTTAAGGGATGGTTCACCCTTCTTACTTCTTAGTTTGTAAAGTTTTTGTACCTTTGTTCACCACTTTCAAACAAGCTTTTTGGGGCCTTTTAACCACTGAATTTTAGAGGTTTTTTAGTGGCAAAAAACTCATTTTGAAGTCCAAAATTGGAGGGGTTAGCCTCCCCTCCTTGTGTCTTGTTTGCATGCCTAGTTAGCCCTATGTATTAGCTTAATGTTTTAGTTTTTTGTGACTCAAGTCCAGCATGTTTAGAACTCTATTTTGAGCTATTTTGCCACTGTTTTGGCTGTTTGGTGCTTTTGAGTCTTGTATTGCATGGTTGTAGTGTAAGTCCTTTCACTAGCTTGGTGTTTTAAGGCTTTAACCACCATTGGTTTGAGTTGAATGCATGTTTTACTGCTTTTTCTCACCTAATTCCAGCACTTATAATCTCTACAAACTCCCTCATTTTTTTACTTTTCCATTTTCTTTGAAAGTTGTTTCAACCTTAGGGTTGTTTAAGCTTGAGATTGACGCTCATGCTTAATGGCCTAATCCTCCTTAGAGGGTTCATTACCAACGGCATGAAGCTTCTCTCATGCCTTAAACTATCCCTTGTTTGACACTTCTTTCATCTTAGAAGACATTCACCAATGGATAAATTGATTAATGAATGATTGGTAATTAAAATGTGTAAACAAAATTGGCAACTAAAAGTGACAAGAAAATCATTCCTTTGTGTTACATTGCATGTGTTCAAATCGGACATTAATTTGAACACAAGGAAAATGGGATATTTCATACTCAAAAGTGATGAAATGTGCCACTTTCCTAAGTCTCCATTGCCCTTGATCATGCATGATAGGGTGATGGTCATTTTGGTCTTATTTTGTATTTATTAAACTTGCACAATTGGTTTCACAAGCCCTCATGCAATGAAATTGCTTGATTGATGGTTTATGGACCAAGTTTTGTCCCTCTTTGATTTCCTCATGAAAAGGAGAGGCAAAGTTTGCAAACAACCTTTGAGAAATACATTGTTTTGCTATGTTTTCTCTCTGTTGTAGGAAGGAAGTCCAAGTTATTAGTGGCCGACAGCCACCACCAGTAGCCGACCGACCACCATTGGTAGCCAACCGGCCCCTTGTCGGCCATCAGTAAAATTTGCACAGTGTGTTGGTAAGGTGAAACAGAGGTGTTCTAAGTAGGCAACATTGTTAGTGCTCAAATGTGCAAACAGTGGCAATCAGCAGCAAGACAGTGGTTTTTCAAGGTGGAAATCGAGCATGCATGGGCCTCCCTCGCTTCCCAAGATTAGCTAATTAGTTTAATTAGCAATAGATCAAATATGTGTTGTAATTAATTAGTTGTAGCTAATTAAGTGTTGTAAATAATTAGTTAGTTTAACTAGTTATTCAATTTCGTTTTGTAATTAGTTAACTAGAATAGTTAATTAATTCAGTTTGTAATAATTAGTTAGCTAGTTTAACTTGTTAATTAGTTTCAAGTTTTGTATTAGTTAGCTTAATTAGCGTAGCTAGTTGGTTAACTTATTCATTCGGACCCTCCTTCGCGAGAGCGTAATGTTGTAATAAGTGTGCATGCGTGTGCATATGTTTTCCAACCCTACATCTTTCTCCATTTTATTTAATCGCTTTCGATGGTTAGATGAGGGACATGTTTCGATTAGCATATTGCATGCTTGCATCCATTCATTCGTATTGCACACACCGAGGCTTGGCGCATCATTCAAACTGCATTGTCATTTCAATACTTATTTGAATATGTGTTTAACCGCATGTTATTTAAATTGCTTCATATGTCATATTAGTAGCCGAGCCTATTAATTGCATATTGCATGTGTTGCATTAGACACTTAACATAGTTAGGAATCATGCATATGTTTCTAACTCTCATATCGTCTTCGCTCGGAGTACTAGGTGAGTTTTTATGCTTTAGCATACTTGCATAAGTGTGAATGTTGCCATGATTCGCATGTTTGCCATGAGGCTAAATGTTTATTTGCTAAATTACTTGAATGCTTGTGGATGAAGGCTTGTTACTTGAATTGGAACGATTCAACGAATGTATGTTTTAAGCCTACTTTGTTGAGTGGCAAATCAGTTTTAAGCCCACTATGTTTGGTGGCAAATCTGCAAGCTTTAAGCCCACTTGAGGTGGCAAATTCAAACCATTTTCTCAAACAAACATGAGTTGAATCGTTCCAAATTGAGCAAACTAGCCTATACTTGCTTGTGCGCATCACATAGTAATGCTAGCTTAATAACAAGAACAAGAGCACATAATGTTTATAAAAAAATTCATATCATGATTAGTAGAGGCCGATCTTTGATCGGGCGAGCGGGGGTGCGCAATTCATGACCTTCCCCTCTCGTACCTAAGTTCCAGAGCCGAGGTAACTTTGGTGATGACGGACATGTGGCCTTTGGCACGAGTCATGGGTTTGCTAAATTTTTCCAAAAATAAAATATTTAGGTGACGACTCTGTATCTGGCAAAGTAGTCAAATTTTGGCACTTTTTGATTCAAAATCAATTTTCCAAAACGATTTGCTAGATTTGGACTCTTTGGTGTTTATCAATTTCACATTGCACTTGTGAGATTGGATTTAGAATCACGGGAGTCCCTATAGGCCTTTCTTTCAAACTTTCTGAAAGGGGAAATGAAAAAGCCGAGCTACAATTTCTAGCAACTCTGTTGGGGATTTAGAGAACTTGACTCGAACTCATTATATGACATTTTATCTACACTTATGTGTTTCTTTGCATTTACATTTGCATTGGTGCGCGTAAGTCACAGTGTTTGCCATTTGCTATTCCTGAA